CGTCCGTGAACGTCAACTGTTGTCCATCATCTTTTGTGTGTTTTTGTCGGGAACCCATCGTCGTCATTCTCTTCGTCAAATGATTATGCTAATTAATTGGCACGTGTTTGAAAGCAATTCAAGCCGCTGATGAAAGTGCATTCCTTTAGGAGTATTCTGACGTGTTGTAGGGCATTTCGGCTTCCTGCAGCGTCATCGGCTTATATGTATTGGCTCTGGCCGCGCCGAGCCTGCAATGATGTCCGCGCGCCGAAGATGGGATCGACATCGTACGTGTGGTCGCGAAGTCTAAAGTCCCGCCGGCCAACGGGCGCGCCGACTTTCCGCCTGTCGCGGCAAGACGTCTGCAAGATCCTCTTGCTCAAGCAGTGTCGGTGGCTGTGTACTGTTTCCGATGGTCATGACGTGAGACGACATGGTCGGGCATCACCTGTCAGCGATACATGCACGCGCTACCCAAAAGAATGAGATCTGGTCCCTGGTCAGCAGAAACAATTGGCTACCACGTCAAATACGCACGCTGACACTTTTTTTGGTATGACCCATTGTTGGATAATCGTAATGACAAGCACTATTGGCGGTGAGTGGCCCTCACGATTGAAGAAAGCCAAAGTCCCAGCATAGCAGGCAACAGCATTTTCTCCCCAGTCATTCGACCACGTCTGGACGCGCGCGTCTGTTCCGTCAACTGTGACCCGTAGCCTCGGGCAGAAACAAAACGAAGCTGCCATCGGAGCTCGTGTACCGGGGAGCCCCTCCGTACTGGGTTTGTCCCAAGACTGTCTGTTCGAGATCCCGGCCCGATCGTCTGATATCTTGAGACACCAAAAAACAGTAATCCAACCGGCCTTTCAGCAAGATGGAAGCAAAGTCAGAGCCGCCGCCGCCACTCAAGCTGCACAAATGAGGCACGCACGGGTCCCGAGAGTCGGGTTCGGGTACGACGCTACATAACCGGACTAGTTCTTTGGAGGGTCGGAAGCGAGCGGCTAGGACCCAGTCGAAGGGTTCCTGGTCCAAGCCACCCGTCGAGCTGGAATGACATGAGTTTGGATGGGCAGCACATCACCCAAGTCAACGCTGAGCCTCATGACATTAACATGCTTTCGTCAGATTGTCAGCACCCAAAGGAGCAGCCACAAGGTTCTGGCACGCCATGACTGGGACGGAAGTGCCTCCCAACGGCGATTATTTCTCAGATAATCAGCTTAATTTTGTCGAAGCCTCACGAGCTGTCCATTCACGTTCGATCACGTCGACGCTGAGTAGACCATGTCCGAGTCCCACTCCAACATATCAGGAACTTAGCACCCCACCAGCCAGAAACGTCGGTACGAATCCAGGCAGAAGTGGTTTTCCCACGCCAAAACGAGTTTCAGCCCTGCTTTCCCCATGTGGCGTCGGCGGGCGTTATTTCGCACTGATCAACCCTGCGATGGCCAATGAAACAGGCGGGAAGCTAGTGTGGAAGCCAACGAAGCGCATGCCGAGCCGCACGCAAATGGGTGAACCCCCAGACAAGGATGTAGGGGGTGGCCAGCTGTTATTTTGCTCTGAATAGCTTAGCTCGTTGGTGGATTCCGGCTGTCAGGTCCCTCTTGGGACCGAATTGTGATACTCTCTGGGGCTCATCATTGATGCGACCTGCAAGATTGGTGTAAGCCGTTATGTACCTCAGCTACCTTGCGCTAGTGTCCTGCCTTCCTCGTCGCAGAGGCCAGCGCACGGAGACCCTGTTCGATGAGACGGTTGCCACGTCTGGCCCCCATCAAGCACCGACTGGGTATGAGTGTCCCAGGAGATACTAAAGAAGGGCGGGCACCTGCAGCTCTGTGGCCATCTCGTCCTCACCTCGTCAATCTTCCAAACCTTTTCTCCCAAGTTGTGCGGTCCAGTCCCGGGCAGCAACTGTCAAGATGGAGTACAGAGAGCGCAATAACCACGACAGTCTCGTCTCGACGTCGACGTACGCGTCGACTGCGTATGACCCGGCTTCCTACACGGCCATCAAGGATGGGGAGACGAAGGAACATGAGCAACGGGCAACGGATCCCATGCTGGTGGATGAGACTGTCACCATCCAGCCATGGAAGGCATCGAAGCACCAGATGATCATCATCATCACCTTGTCTATCATGTCATTCGTCATTGCCTTGGACGCCAACGTGATTGTCACGTCTCTGAGTGTAAGTCGTGATCTGAACGAATTGTCTTTGGCAGTACGCTGATTGAATCATTGAAGTCCATCATCCAAGATATTGGTGGAACATCAACACAAGCTTTCTGGATTGGAACTTCTTATCTGATTTCTTGTGCTGTTGCCATGCCATTCTTGGCATCTCTCAGCGACATCTTCGGTCGACCCATCATTCTCATCGGCAGTCTCATTCTCTTCACACTGGGTACAATTCTTTGCTGTGTTGCGAGTGATATTGGGCTGCTCCTCGTTGGCCGTGTTATTCAGGGTGTCGGTGCTGGAGGCATGTACGTCCTCAGTCTCGTTGTCTTCACCGACATCGTGCCTCTGCGCCACCGACCTAAGCTCTATGGCATTATGTGAGTAGCTCCGCCCTGAAGATCCCAGACACCAACTGACTTCTTTTCCAGCCAAATGGCCTGGGCTGTTGGCTCTCTCGTCGGCCCCATCATTGGCGGTGCCATCGCAGAGCATACTACGTGGAGATGGATCTTCTACATCAACTTCCCAATCTGCGGCTACTCTCTCATTGCAGTACCCATTCTCCTGACCCTGAAGCCGCCTACGGCTACCTTCTCTCAGAAGCTAAAGCGGGTCGACTGGCTCGGTGGCTTCTTGTTCATCGGGTCTATGGTCACTTTCCTCATTGGTCTCTCCTGGGGAGGTAACGATTTCCCGTGGAGGAGTGTCCAGACTCTTGTGCCCTTGTTCATCGGCGCTGGTGGTCTGGTCGTCGCACTGGTCTACGAGCACAAGTTTGCCAAGCTGCCATTTTTGAGGAAGGTTCTCTTCACGGACAGGAGTGCCATTGTGGTCTACATCCTTGGTGCCCTCCAAGGCTTCATCGTAAGTCGCCCAATCACCGCCTGCGCTAGCTCCATGCTAACAGCCCCTAGCTCTACGGCCAACTGTACTACATCCCCTTTTATTTCCTCTCTGTCCCTGAGTACAGCCCCACCATGGCCGGTGTAGCAATGCTCCCGGTCACCCTTCTGCTTCTCCCAGGATCCATCATCTCTGGCATTCTTGTCTCCCGCTACAACGCCTACCGCTGGTCCATCTGGATCGGCTGGGCTCTACTCGCTCTTGCATCTGGACTCCTCATCTACTGGGGCGTTGGCACGTCTGTTGCAGTGCATGTCATCACCCTGGTTATTGGCGGTGTTGGCCACGGCTTCATCCTCAATGCCCAGACGTTTGTCACTGGTGCCATCGTCGACCCCCAGAACTCGGGCCACGCCGCGAGCATGTACCTTTTCCTACGCATGCTCGGCTGCGCCATCGGCGTCAACGTGGGCTCGACCACGTTCCAGAACGTCATGGCGCTTAAGCTCCGCCGCCAGGGCATTGCCGAGGACATTGCCCGCCGCGCCGAGGAGTATCTCCTCGTCGTCAAGACTCTGCCCGACGGCACCTTCAAGGATGCTGTCCTCGAGTCGTACGCCTACGGCTTTAAGGGCGTGCACGGCGTCTACGTCGCGCTGGCTGTCATTGCTTTCTTCCTGAGCTTCCTGATCCGTCACTACGACCTCAACAGGATTCACGAGACGGAGCACAGGCTGCAGCAGAACCGCGTCTCGCGCATGTTCGAGACTCACCAGCACCGCACCCGCGGTGAGCCCATCCCCACGTCTGACGAGAGCTCTTAGGCTTCGCGACGTGTATCATGGGAAGTTTGCTAGAACTGTGCCCAGGAAAGAAGCATTTAAGGTGTAGGATGAGCGGGATAGGGATGGAGGATCACAACGGAAGTTGAAACGACGAATATCTCAGGCACTAAGCATGGAGTTTGTGGGTCATAGAATATGGTCATGGGTGATGTGGCGGACGGGTTGGCTTTATGAATGTCTTTTCTTTTTGGCAATGCATCATTCCTTAGAACCTTGCCTTGCGTGGACCAGTAGGCAGAATGAATCTAAATAACGTCTTCAAATTGTTTAATATCTGGTTCTACCCCTAGTGAACTCTCGTTCTATAATGCATTGCATCAACATTTGCTCTGAACAAAAGCCTCTGCGAGAATTGCCCTACAACAGGAACAAGACGTGGCATTGCTAAGCCACGGAAGGCCTTGATGGACTGTTGAGGTTGGAAAAGTGACGATCAAGGACAGATTGACATACTAAACCACGTGTTTCTGTCATCGGGTTTGTTAGTCAGGGCGCGCGTCTCGGTGAAGCCTCTTCATCCTGCTTTGGTGAAACGGTGATGGATTGCCGAAAGATTGTGAGGTTAATGAGCCTGTAGGAAGGAAGTGCGCGGCTCTGTGACAGTCATCTTTTTACGATGAGAATCACGTGTTTTATACCTGAAGTTTGAAGATTGAGTTCCTTGTGCTTTTTGATCCCATGGTGAGATGTTGGAGACGCTGATGTGGCTGGCGGCGCTGCGGTTCGAATGGTGGGTTCGGTTGGTTGCCGGATTGGGTAGGTCGCCGAGTTATCTCCGGGCTTGAATTCCCAGGGTCTGGCAGACACAAGTCTTCAAGCATGGGGAACGGAAGCATGAACACAGAATTAGAATGGTGTTTGGTCACCAGCATAGAATAGACACGAACGAGGAGAGTCTGTTTCAATCACATACGCGGCATTGCTTTATCTGTGTTACGCGACGGGCTCACTTAGCGACGACGCTACTCCACTCCGAGCCTCGGAGCCCGCCTCCTTATCTCTGGCCGATATCCCCCGGTCGCTTCCCCTCCATCCAGTCAACCTCCGAGACTCCCGTCAACAAACCAACAGACGTACCCAAGCAACATCAGACGCGTGTTAGTTAATTGCCGCCGCATCAAATCGCATTTGAAATGGACCCGGAGTCGCGGGCCTCGCCTAGACGGCTCTCGTTGACGGGGCGGATAGGCGGGAGCCGCGATGCCGCCAAGACCATCTCGGCGTAAGTCTCCGAACCCACGCACACCCCGCTCGGGGGCCTCCTCCGCGCCGGCGACCGCCAACGGGGTCGACTGCAAGTCCTCGCGCTGTTGTCTCCGCTGGGTATCCGGAGGTAGTCTATGAAATGTCGGATGCTGATTATTGAGGCGGTGGTTAGGTGCTTGACGTGTCGGCGGAAGAAGGTCAAGTGCTCCGGCGACAAGCCGTGCACGTACTGCAGCCGGCGAGGGTTGGAGTGCTGCTTCCCGGAGCCTGGGAAGAAGCGGGTCTACTCTGTCACGTAAGTTGTGAACAAAAAATCATGTTAAGTTGGATTTCTAACAGCGTAACAGGCGGATTCAGGATCTGCAGGAGAGGCTTGCGCGGTATGAGAGCCAGGGACTCGGCTTCTCTGTCATCGAGGGTGAGTGACGTCGATTAACCATTGTCTTCGAGATGACTTACATCGGGATTAGGAAGAGACGATGAGACGAGGATAGTTGGAGACCCCCCGGTGCAGTCCCCGAAGCGTCCACGGACAAGCGCGACTGTACATACGCCGACGGATAATGCGACGCAGGTCAACGCGGCATCGACATTGCTGGGTCTGGCACTGGATCAACTGACGTCTCCTCCATCTACCAACACCGTCTCCCGCGGAACGGCGAGTAACATCGTCGAGTCTTCGCCAGGGTCAAGTAAGACACCCCCCATACCTGAAGAAGCCATACTCGCTCACACGCTCACCAGCTATCCCCGCCGACTCAACCCTCAGCTCCAGCCACAACTTCGGCTCCCGCTTGCAGAACCTCCTCGAGCACCCTCGCCTCAGCGGCAGAGAACCCACACCCCAACCGCGCCCTCACGCACCCTCCTCGCAGCCCCCTACAACCAAACCCCACAATGACGCCCCCGCGCTGCCCTCCGAGGACGAGGGCCGCAAGCTCTTCGAGAGCATGTCCTTCTTCATCGGATACACGCAGCACCACATCGACACGCGCGAGTTCTCGGACCGGCTGGCCTTCTTCTACGCGAACCTCGGCGACCCCTCGCAGACGCAGACGCCGTGGTATTTAGAAATGGTGCTCGTGTTTGCGATCGGGAAGCTGTTCTCGGGCGCGTTCGACGGCGACGACGAGGCGGGGGCGGGGCTGCCGGGCGAGGGCATGTTCCGGTATGTGCAGGGGCGGCTGCCGAGTCTGAGCGAGCTGTTTGGGCTGGGGAAGCTGGGCGTGGAGATCCATGCGCTGGCGGCGGTGTATTTGCAGAATGCGAATCGGAAGGAGGAGGCGTATCTTTATGTGAGTGGATTGGCGACGGGTTTGGGACGAGGTGAATGGGGCTGATGAAAGGGACAGATTAGCTCGGCCTTGAGGCTTGCGACGACGCATGGGTATCATAGGAACTCGGGGACGAAGCACTTGCTGCAATCGGAGAAGGTGCATCTGAACCGTCTTTGGTGGACGGTGTATATGCAGGAAAGGTATGCTCCGTTTGGTCCATGGAGAAGTACCGGGCAGCTGCTTACCTCCACGCAGACGACTTGCCGCCGCCACAGGGAACCCATCCGGCATCTCGGACGATGTTATTGAGATTGATATGCCGATCGACTCCCCCGGGTTCCCGCCCGCTCTACCGCTGAGAACCAACATCAAGATTGCAAGGGTCACGGGCAGGATTCTCTCAAGTGAGTGCCAGCTGATATACTAGCCATCCCTCAGCCGTTTACTAACGCATACATAGCAATCTACGGTCCGGGCAACCACCCCGAAGACGCCTTCGTGCCAAGCGTCCAGGAGATCGTGCAGTCCCTCTATTGGATTGCCAAAGAGATCCCCGGCGACTTCTCCAGCAAGCTGTTCGACATCCCGTCCATGGAGGGCGACGTCTCGCTGCGCACGTCGGCGTATCTGCACATGATGCTGTACCAGGCGATCCTGCTGACCATCCGCCCCGTCATGCTGCACGTCTCAAAACTAATCTTCGACGACGACAACGGCAGCGGGTTGAGCTTGGGCACGTCGCCGCTTGGCCGGTTGAGCCGCACCTGCTCAGAGGGGGCGCGGCGATTGCTGGAGGTCTTGCTGGCGTTGCGCAAAGGCAATATGCTAAGTAAGTCATCCCTCCACGCCATCCAAATCTCACATGTCTGACGCATTTTCAATGTAGCAATATTCGGCTTCTTCGACCTCGACGCCATCTTCTCCGCCGCCTTCATCATGATCCTCACCCTCATCATCGACTCCACCTCCGACGACAGCCAGAAACTCGCCCCCAGCCCGGGCCTCCCCGACGCCCTCGAGATCCTCGATTACCTCGTCGCCCGCGGCAACGACTTCGCGTCCCAGCGGGCGCGCGAGGTGCGCCGCATGCGGGACCACCTGTCCACCTTCCTCGACATCCCGAAGAACAGCCCCAGCGAGGTGCGCAACAGACCGCCCACTGTCGCTGGGGACGCGAGCATCGTCGTGTCGATGGATGACGATGGCAATGTGGATGCAGAGGCGCGGAGGCTTGCGTTCCCGGGCTCCACGCCTAAGGAGGGTGGTGTGGTGACGCCGTCGGGCCGCACGAGTCAGCTTGGCTCGCGGAGCCTGCTGGACTCGAGTTTGTGGAATGATATATCGTACCTGTGGATGCAGCCGGCTGCGGGCGAGGATGCGCAGGTGGCGGAGCAGGCGGCGGGGATGGCTGAGTTGATGCCGGAGGATGCGTATAATTGCTACTCGATCTATCATAATCAGGATCTCACGCTTACGGGGCAGGATTTGGGAGATTTTGGGGAGTTGGAGAGGCATATCCTCGGGTTTGGTGGTTGAAAAAGATGACTCATAGTGAGTTAATGAAGAGACCGCCTATTTTTCAGATGGCAGAGCAACTGCTTTTTCTGTGGTATTATATTCCGTATTATTGTTGTCGATGACATCGTTGTCTCCGCTGCTATTATCGTCGCCACTATTATTAGTATTAAGACTTTGTTGCGATACCCTCAATCTGAGCTGCAGCCTCACCGCCTGTCACGTGACGTGCGGTATTACGTAAGCCGCGCGTGTGGATATTAGCCCGCGATGCGGACCACCCTTCCGAATAGTTACTCCTACAATACACCTTTATTCCTGATGACCTGCGCGCCCGTAACTCGCAAGAGACTTCTACTGCCATTTTTTACAGAAATAATTAACTACATAGGAGATGTTGCTGCGCAAACACAGGAAAAATAGGCGGTCTCTTAACAAAGAGGACCAACCATTCATCTTATAAGCAAAAGACTCCGCGACACTGGAACTCACTCTGCAAACAGCTAAAAAGAGAAGACATCGACAACTACAACGCATAGAGGGCAAAAGATAATGCGTCCTAGGGGAGTCGAACCCCTGTCCCAAGCTGTCTCGATTTCTCGAATGGAAGGCTTGGATGATAACCGCTACACTAAGAACGCCTGTGTCTCCGCTCATCTACGCCCCCCGCAGAGGTTGTCAAGGTCACGATGGTGGGGGCGAGTCAGCGCGAACTCCCGCGGCCCACTTCGGGGTTCGTTTGCCTTTTGCGGTTAACAAAGGTCGAGCAGCCCAGTACTTTAATGAACTTAGACGACATGCCTACTCCGTCCCACAGCGCCGCATCCACCGAACCCATACGGCGGTATTAACCCACCCACGGGACCGGACCGAAAAGGCCGCGAGGAGAGCTGTGACTTTAATCGATGTTGAGAATGACACGGACCGACGGGAGGCCGGAGCCCGACTAGATTCCGACCCCGGTTCGTCATGACCCCATTGCCCCATCTTGAGACGCTCGTCCGAATAAGCGCGTCCATCATCGGGCGAGACCCCGCAAAATCCTTTGCCGGAAAGCGAAACCTCTTCGGGAGAAGCGTACGGCTGTCCAATCACGATGCTGCATTTCACTTCACATATATCAACCTTCAGAGTAAACGCTCCCTCATAAGCGCGGTGCAATTCATCCGTCCATCTCCGTTGGAAAGGTGAGAGCGACAGATTTGAGGCGAGACAGGGGGTCTCTTACACTTAGGTCCCAGAACTTTTGTTGATGCCGCGGTTTAGCTCCGACCACTGCCGGAGGGTAAAACGGGAGGTTCATTACGTATAAAGGATGAGGAACAGCATTGGCTGCAAGATAGTTACTTACTGATGACCACGACTCTTAACGTGGTTGTAATTGAGAAACTTGATCATGGCTACTGCAACGGTAACGTATGTAACGGATTTTTACCTGCAGACGTACTTGGAAGCGTCCACTCATGAGTATCATCAGGTCAACCCAGACGAACAACGGAACCCTCGAATTGCACGGTGGATCACCGTCCAAGCTACCAAAAACGCTCCCCGCGGACTTCATCGAGCGATTCCCAAAGATCTCGCGGGAGCAAGCCGGCCACCTGCGCCACTTCCACAACCTCGCCACCCAGAAAGATGGCGAGTGGAAGCACATGGGCAGCCAGGAGCCCGGGCAAGAATGGCTCGACGCCTACCGCTACCAGCTGGCGACCATGGCCTACGCCGCCGGCGCCGCGCACTATCACCACTTGCCCGCGTTGAGGTCCACCTTCAAGTCCTTGCTGGAGAGCCTGATTCACAAGATGCTGCTGCGGGATGTTTGGGGATACTGGTTCTTGACGAGTCACAGCGGGATTATGGTCGACCCGGATATCAAGGAGCTGAGGAAGCCTTGGGCTGATCCGGTTGTTCGCGAAAACATCATGGTAATTTGATTGCGAAGTGTCTGCCAATGCCTGCTAATTGGAGGGTTCAGTACTCCGGACATCTCCTTCTCATGGTCTCGCTCCACGAGATGCTCTTCCACGAGGGCAGGTTCGACGAGGAGGGCTCGATCGAATTCAACTGGAACCCCATCTTCTGGGGCATGGGGCCAGAGAGGTTCTGCTACACGAGGAAGACGCTGCAGGAGGCCATACTGCGGGAGATGGAGCGGGAGAACTGGCTGGGGGTGTGCTGTGAGCCGAATAGCATCTTCGTCGTTTGCAACCAGTTTCCTGTGAGCGAGCGAGAGAAATCCCACCAAAGCCTGAACAACAAACGACTGACAAATCTGTATAGTTGATTGCATTGAGATATAACGATGTCCGGGACAAGGTCGACATCTCTACGGGTGTGTTGGAAAAGTACCAAGCCGCATGGAAAGCCAAGGGCATGGTCTCAGACGACGGTCTCATCGTCGACTGGTACTCGCCCAAGCAGAACCGAACAAAGCCCCCGTCCGACATTGCCTTCACCTCTTGGTAAGTCGACAACATCAAACCGCAGCGCAGGTTCAAGCTAACATCCGCAGGGCTCTCGCATTCATGAACTCCTGGAACCCAGACTTCGCCCGCCGCACGAGCAAAGACATAGCCACCGGGTACCTGGCCAAGTCCGCCGAGGGCTACGTCTTCGTCCCCAATCCCGAAGTCTCGTTCAAGATCCGCGAACTCGTGACGTCGGAGCGCCTCGACCCCATGGACCCGGCCACCTACGCCAGGGCCGCGAAAGCGGTCGCCGAGCAGAACTTGCCGGCGAGCAAGTTCCCCTTCACGAAGCCGCATTTTGCGTACGCAGCGATGTGGGCGTCGGAGTTGGCGGAACCGAAGCATGTGGACGGGTTGCTCGCGTATGCGGATGCGAAGATGAATCCGACGTGGGAGGACGGAGGCCTGTTTTATGGCAGCGGCGGCAGGTCTGAGGGGGGCTCCGGGGTGGATGTGATAAGCGGCAATGCTGCGGTTGCGTATGCGAGGTTCAACGCCCCGGATGGCCAGCGTAGGATGTATGAGAAGCCTTGGGACGAGGAGCACTTTGCGGCTGTGCCTTTTGTTAAGAATGTTGATCTCGCGAGTGGGGTTGACTTCTTGCGAGGAAGCTGGGATGAGGGGCTTCAGGCGCTGGCGGTTACGCTGCGCTCGTGGGATGGCACAAGCAAGAGGTGCGTCTGAGATGGTGGTTCTGATATTTTGAAGGTATTCGCTAACATCGTACACAGCATTCAGCCTCAGTTTACCGGGCTTCGAGAGGGCACGTATGGCATCTATCAAAACGGTGTGCTTCATCAGACACATGAAGTCAAGGGCAGAGACGACGTTATCGCGCTTGACCTTCAGGTATCAGGGGATGAGGTTGACCTGGTTCTGGTGAGGTCTCACTGAAGGACGCCAGTCCGTACGTCACTACATGCGCCTAAAAGACCTTCATCACAATGACCAGTAGTTCGCAAGCTGGATGGGAAGTTCGCCAAGAACCACGGCTTCATCTGATCTGGTGAATGAGTCACAATTTGATCTCCGGAGTGCGTGAAGCATGGACGAAGCTTGAATCAAGGGAAGGACACATGGAAACGCCGCGATCAATACATTACACCCATCGTCAATTGAGTTTTGGTCCATCTTGATTATCAAGCATGTTGAAACATCTTGTTGAGCTTGTAGCTTGAAGGATTTCATGAGTCACAACTGCACTCCTTCACCACGAAGGCAGCCAGGCGACGGTCATTAGCCGAGACATAGTTGGCAGCCTAGACTTTGGAAAAGATGGGATTGTGTCGATTGAGTTTCTAATATTAAACGTCCCACGATTTAAAACAAAAGAGATTTATCAAAGGCAGACTGCACTGCATTTCTAAGCAGAGCGCTGTCTGCCCGTGATCGACGTCGACGATTGGTCGTTGGAAAGAAAGTCATTGAATGATGCAGCGAGGAGGAATACGCAGCGGCGGAAAACGCTGGGCGGAGTCGCGGAACTCCCTGCTAGGCCCTGCTAGGTACCCGTTTAGGGGCACAGGCACCAGCGACAGTAGGACTTTGCGCCAATCAGACGCCGCCTTGGCAGCAATTGGGCGCTGTGATTGGTCGCTTCGGAGCAGGGAGTTGGTGCCTGGATTTGCCTGCGCCCACCACCGACACAGGCACACCACAATGAGCACATACAAAACTCCTCCTCCTGGATGTCATTCCTTCTCTCCTGGGTGTATAAGAACCGCCCTCGTTCAAGCCTCAGTCTGCTTTTTTTTTCAGTACTTCTTCCAGCATTCAAACCAACTCGGCTCATCGTCTGGGCCCTTTTCTGATTCTTTCCCTACGAATCATCACACTGAACTACCCAAACACATACCAAGCCATCCTTGCGTACCCTCGATCAACGTTGCTTCACCTCGCGTGCTCTTGATCGTAAGTATTCTACCGTCATCATGGTTTTTGGTCGCTCTCCTGCCCCGGGAGGTCTTTTTGGCGGCCTTGGCTCCAACTCGAACAACAACTCGGGTGGTCTCTTTGGCAATTCTAACAGCGACAGCAGCAACAACACCGGGAACACCAGTAACCCATTCGGCAACGGCGGTCTCTTCGGGTCGATCAACAATAACGGCCACGTCGAATATCGCGACGGCAGCACAGGCGGGCTCTTTGGACGGAGCGCCGGCGGCAGCTTGTTCGGCGGCCAAGTCAACAATATGGCCGGTCACGTTTGCGGACTCTACTACCTCGATCCGACGGCACCCTACCACTATGGGTATCGACGGAACTACCTACCCACCGTATCACAATCAGTTCACGCACGCGTCGTCGCATCGACTGCAAGAACGACACTCACCCAGACTTTCGTCAACCCATCCAAGACGGAGGTCATCCCCGAGCTCCGCTACACCTTTCCCTTGTACGACGGCGTCTCGGTGGTAGGCTTCACTTGCACCATCAACAACTCTCGCGTCATCCGCGGCGTTGTCCAGGAGAAGAACACCGCTCGCAAGACGTACGACGCGGCCGTTGCCAAAGGCGAGACTGCTGGCCTCTTTGAGCAGTTGCCTGAAGCCAGCGATGTGTTCACCACCACCATCGGCAACGCCCCCGCCGGCGCCGAGCTCAAAGTCGAGATTGCCTACCTCGGCGAGCTCAAGCACGATGCTGAGGTCGACGGCATCAGACTTACCATCCCGACGAGCATTGCCCCCCGCTACGGTTCCTACCCCGGCACTCTGATGGAGAAGCCTCCTAATGTTTCCTCCAAGGACGGCATCGAGATTGTCGTCGACGCGGAGATGCCAGATGGCAGCGCCATCAAATCCATCCAGTCCCCTTCTCATCCCATCGCCGTCTCCGTCGGCTCAACCTCGACCATGAGCGCCGACGCCACTCCATCCCTCCAGCTCGCCTCTGCCACGCTCTCTCTCGGGACCGCAGAGCTCGAGAGAGACTTCATCGTCCAGATCATCGCGACCAACACATCTAACCCCGTCGCCGTCCTAGAGACGCATCCCACAATCCCCCACCAGCAGGCCATCATGGCCACTCTGGTGCCCAAGTTCAAGCTCGCCACCACAAAACCCGAGGTTGTCTTCGTCTGTGACCGCTCAGGCTCCATGCAAGGCAAGATCGCCGACCTGAAGAACGCACTGCAGATCTACATGAAGTCCCTCCCCGTCGGATGCATGTTCAACATCTGCAGCTTCGGCAGCCGCCACACATTTCTCTTCCCCAAGTCCCAGACGTACGACCAGAATACGTTGAAGACTGCCATGAAGCACATCGACACGTTCGGTTCCGACTACGGCGGCACGGAGCTCTATGCGCCCATCGAGGAGACCTTCAAGCGCCGGCACAAGGACCTGGACCTTGAAGTGTTTGTTCTGACGGATGGTGAGGTTTGGAACCACGAGAACCTGTTTGGCATGGTCAACAAGCATGTGGAGGACTCCAAGGGCAGTGTTCGTCTGTTCACTCTTGGTATCGGCCGCGGCGTCAGCCATGCCTTGGTTGAGGGCCTCGCCCGTGCAGGTCAGGGGTTTTCGCAGACTGTGTCCGAGAAGGAGAAGATGTCTGGCAAAGTCGTCCGTATGCTCAAGGGGGCTCTCACTCCACACGTGAAGGACTACACCCTTGAGGTCAAGTATGCCGACGCGGAATCGGAAACTGAGCCCGAGGATGACTTTGAGATTATTGATCCCGTATCCCCCAAGGCTGAACCCTCCAGCGAGAGACCTGCACAGGAGGCCCAGAAGCCCATCTCCCTCTTCGACCCCGATTCCGAAGACGTCGACATGGACAACACCAACCAGCAAGACGACGAGACTGGCACCGAGCGCTTCTCCCATGTGCCTACCGTCAAGCCACCCAAGATCCTCCAGGCGCCCTTCCGCATCCCGCCCCTGTACCCATACAGCCGGACCAGCGTCTACCTCCTGCTATCGCCAGACCGGGCACTCAGGAACAGAACTCCCTCGTCTGTGGTCCTTCGCGGGACATCATCCCAGGGCCCGCTGGAGCTCGAGATCCCTATCACGATCCTCGCCGAGAAGGCCGAGACGATTCACCAACTCGCAGCCCGCAAGGCCGTCAAGGAACTCGAAGAAGGCCGCGGTTGGATCTTCCACGCCAAAGGCAAAGACGGAAAGGAACTGCAGAAGAGCCATCCCGGCCGTTTCCCCGCCATGGTCGAGCGCGAGGCGGTCCGTCTCGGTGTGGGATTCCAGGTCGGCGGCAAGTGGTGCTCCTTCGTCGCGGTGGAGGCCAACGACAATGATGAGGATGCGGTCGAATCACCTGTAGAGGAGGTCCCCGCACCTGGGAGAGGGACAGATTGGCATGGTATTCCTGACATGGCTGAAGACCGCCGGTGCAGAAACACAGCACACTCAGCAAGGAAGCGCATGATGAATAGGCAAGCGATGGGCCTGGCACAGCAACAGGCACAGCAACAGGCACAACAACAGCAACAACAGATCCAGCCGCAGCAACAACAACAACAACTACAAAGCCACCAGCAAGGACTCATGATGCTCCGTCAAGACCGGTCCAAACGAAGCCAGCCACTTGGCATGGCTCGAGGTACGCCCGCTCCCCCGTCCGTAGGCGGCAGCCTGTTCGGCGCGCCGTCTTCCCCCCATCCTGCACCCATCGCGACCGCTTTTGGGAGCGGTGTCAATTACGGTGTCGTCACTTCCCCTAGCAATTTTGAAGGCACGTCGCCTGTCACATCACCGGCTGGATGCAGGTCTCCTTCGTTTGGAGGAGATTCTCCTGTATATGGAGGCAACTCCCCAAGCTACTCCCCTGTCTCACCACCTGCCCAGGCCGCGACCACATCTGTGTTCAGCAGCCAGCCAGCAGCTGGTGGTTTGTTCGGCTTTCCAACATCCACTTCACCAGGCGCGAGCTCTTCTGCATTCGGAAGCAAGCCCACGACTGGTGGTTTGTTTGGCAGCTCAACATCCTCTGCCCCAGCCGCGAGCTCGTCTCTATATGGAAGCAAGCCCACGACTGGTGGTTTGTTCGGTGGCCCAATTTCCCCTGCACCCAACACAAGCTCTTCTCCTTTTGGCAACAAGCCTTCAACTGGTGGTTTATTCGGTAGCTCATCCTCTTCCTTCTCAGGTGCTCCACGGGCGTTCGCAAGCAACGCCCTCGCCCGACCAGCCGTGCAATCCGCGGCTCCCCCAACCGGCGGCGGTTTGTTCGGCACCTCGACATCAACAGGCGGCCTCTTCGGCGCTCCCGCACCGGCACCCGTTGAAGCCGCCGCGCTCGCTCCGCCTACCAAACCAGTTGACGCAAACTTGCTGGCCCAGTATCAAAGAGAAATGAGCGATGCCGCGTCCATGCCACTTCCCGACGAGGACCTCATCGACTACTCAGACGAAGACGTCGACCTCGGCTCCCCTAAGCCGGCCGCCCCAGTTCACAAGAAGAAGCGAAGGAGCGCTGGAAACAACCTGTTCAGCGCCGAAGCCGAGGTGGACGAGGATGATGACGATGACGCCCAGATCGACAAGGACGGCGGCGACAAGTTCTCCGCGCTCGTGGAGATGCAGGACTTTAGCGGCTTCTGGGCCTGGTCTGCCCAGTTGCTGAAGGTGCTGGACGTCACGGAACAGCAGGTCAATGATGCGCTGGGCGGGTTCCAGGCTAGCAAGAATGTGGTGGCTACTTCGGTGGTGGTAGCGTTCTTGCGCAAGAAGCTGGCGCATGAGAGTGAGAGCTGGGAGATGATGGAGGAGAAGGCGGTGGCTTGGCTTGAGGAGGAGATTGGAGATGATGAGGTTGGGAAGGTTTTGGCTGCGGCTGAGGCGCTGTTTTGAGGATATTGAATGAAGGAATGTAATGACGATGAAATCAGTGCAAGTATGGGTGAGGAATCCAAACCATGAGATACATGGAAGCAGGAAAGACCGGTCCTGAGAAAGAGTCAATAGAAATTGCTTGCTATGAAAAATGCGTGTTCCGTGAAATGTGACCCCCGCTTCTTTGCTTCATAATCGTGTTCATATGCGATTCTTTTCGCCTTCCTTTTGCCCCTAAGCTCGACGACCTACCCAGCCTTCTTCGCAATCTCATCGCCATCGTTCAAATCAACCACCATCACCGCCGCCTCAGTCTTCGTCCCCCTCCCTTCACGATAGTCATCAAACCAATACCGATGCACCACCCCAAACCCGCACTTCTCGTACGTCCGCCTTGCCGCGGGGTTGTCGTAGTCCACAATCAACGACAGCCGCACCCTCTCCCCAGAAACCTTCGCCTCAGCCGCAACATACCTCTTGGCGTATTCCAGAATCTGCACCCCCAAGCTGTTGCCCCTAGCTATCGGCAGCACGTACATCCCGTTCACGACAAACTGCCTCGTCGGCCGGTCACATTTCCGCGCAGGCCCGAGATCCAACTCATGCGCAGGCCCGAAATCCACAAAGGACTCCTCAAGATGCAAATGTGTCGCCAGCGTCTTGGTGTCGAGGGGCCCTGAGATGGTGAGGGAGGCCAGCCACTCTGCGTCCAAGGCGAGCTCAAAGTCCGACTCCGGATCCGCCGTCTCGATACTCAAGTCTTCATCGCTGGACGCTTGGACGGGCGACGGCGGAGTAATCCCGTCATCGACGGCGACGATGGTCGTCGCGAGCGGGTTCGACAGCCGCGCGAGCCATTTATCCGGCGCGAAGGCGACCTCGCGCGCGTACGTCGACCCGAAGCTCTCGGGGGAGAGGCGCAGCGAGAGCAGGCGGAAGGCCTTGTAGCGGTCGGAGAGCTGGAGGAATTTGGCGAGGGAGGTGTGCGATTTCGGGAGGACTATGAACTTGGGCGACATGGCGCGCAGAACTGGAGGATAGGGATGTTCGCCGGCGGCTATGGTGTTAACCTGGCGTTTGGAAATTTGAGCGAGATTGTGAGGGTGGAAAGGCTGGGTGAGTCACGGTTGGTGGTGCGAGATCGGGAAGGTGGTATGTTTGGGCGGCTAGCGGTGTTTGGCTCCCGCGTCAGACGGGGCGGGCGAATCATCCGTCGGCAGTGTGTCTACATATGTACGTATCGCTGTGACTTGATTTGATGACAGCTGCGAAGATCTAGTGTTCTGCATTGAAGGGTTCGCAGCTCAGAACAAGACAAAAAACGATGTTATATTCACGATGTAGAACTAGCGACGGATGCAATTCGCGCCAGCGCCTATGCTTGATTGCAATTTTCAGTTCCAAATTCTGTGTGGAAGGCAAATAGGAGCTTAATCATGATACTAACCTAGTACATATAGGAAGCAGGACGTGGATGAAGGCTTTGTACATAAGTATCATCTCGTACTCATCCTGTTCTTTGATTTTTCCCGAGATGTGTTCTGACTAGACACTACGAAACAAAGAAATGATAATTAGCCACTAAAAGCTACTTTGAGAGAACTTGTTTTTATCTCTCTATGTCCATTATCTTGGATAGCATGTCAAGCGACAATCTTATTTACTTGCGACTAGGCCTTTATATCGTTGGTAGTTGAGTATCGCACAGATCCTGGGGTGTAAGGTGATCGCGTGCGTCCATTCTGCTGACGAGACTTTAACCTGTAAATCGGCACACACAGCTCTCCTGAAGTGCGCCGCAATACGTGAACTTCGTCGGAAACTCGCTACAGACTCTCCGGCAAGTAAAGTTGATAGCGACTTCAACTAGACCGCTGCTTATCTAGGAAGTCCTTCTCAGAAACTCGTTATCTATGTCCCTATTATAGGAAGACCTGAGTTTCATATTTTTATCTTGCTTGCGATGGCTCGTAGTATATCTTACATACTTAACTAGTATTGTCTGTTGATGAAGGTACTAGGCGTGGCAACTTACGTCTTAAGTTGCAAGTCTCGCGGTCTTAAACTGTTTTCATAAAGAGATAGACGACAATTGAAATCTTCCATGTCGAGCAGGTAAGAAAGTGATTTGCATCATTCAGCAATTGCGATGTGTGTAATCAGAGCGGCTGATACTCCCCCCCGGGCATGCCTCGGCCTAATTCAATTCCGGAGCCGAATCGCTTCAGACAAGACCGGACCGGCGGGGCAAATTTCGGACGCGTCGTACTCGGCTCATCACTTTGCCATCAGTCGCGAACTCATGTTCCCCCACCAAAGTCGCGACATTCTTCAACAATCTGGCCCGGAGCATTGGGTCTGAGCCAGCTAATTGAACTTCATATCAAGGCTCTTGGCGTCCGTCAACCCCCATAAACCCACCTGCAGAAACCCCGCACCCAGCCACCTCACCCGCCCCGGGTCGTCGACCGCGACACTCTTCACGCACGTGGTTGCGAATACCGACAAATCTCGCATCGACCTTTTTCTGGGCATTTTCGTAATGCTCAGTCGTGCGCTCACGCGGTCAGGCGCCCCCTTGCCTCGCAGGTTTCTCTTCCAGAGTGGGCCGCGATCCCTTGTCCGCGGTCGTCTGCCTGGGCTGACATTCAGCCCTCACAACTCTCAACTCCGCCATGCATCTGCCTCCAGGCCCTTTCCGAAGACAAAACCACGAGATGCTGGCCCGCAAAGCTCAAAAAGTGATGCCTCGCGGGTGCGGACGCCGGCAACATTCTTTTCTGATGCGAAGGAGTGGGCCGAAGCCTTTTGGTCCGCGGTATGCTTCTTGGTGGTTATGGCGCTGGTGGAATATTATTTTGGTACCATCATCTACGAATTTGCCACAGATCATCTAACTCGACTAGAAGTCAAACTTTCTCGTGTAAAATTCGCCGATGAAAAGACGATGAAACGGGTACGATGGACCCTCCAACCGTGACTGGGTATTCTGACAAAACGGCAGGCTGCCAAAGATATTGAAGACGCTTTGGGCCCTCAGGCAGTTAGCTACGACCAGGACGAAATCGAGCGACATGGCCATTCAGACTGGTCAACGTCCAACTCGAAAGGACGTCCAGTGGCGATCGTTTACCCTCGCAATACCGAGGAGGTGTCCAAAATTGCGGAGATATGCAACAAACACAAATGTCCAATAGGTAAGTGTGGCCTCCGAACTTCAAGTTATGTTCAAATTCTGACGGGTGCAGTGCCATTTGGAGCTGGCTCTTCTGTGGAAGGGAGCTTCTCCTCTCCGTACAGTGGGATTTGTGTAGACTTTGTGCACATGGATAAGATTGTTGCCTTCCACCCCGATGAGTAATCAATCCTTCCCAATGCTGATGCTCATGTACTGACAAACCGGTGCCAGCATGGACGTAGTTGTCCAGCCAGGAGTCAACTGGGTTGACCTCAATAAGTCCATCGAGGAGTCTGGCCTCTTCTTGCCATTGGACCCCTCGCCTACCGCGATGATCGGGGGCATGGTCTCTACCAACTGCAGCGGTACCAACGCGTTCCGCTACGGGACCATGAAGGATTGGGTCCTGAACCTGACCGTCGTCCTCGCTGATGGCCGCGTGATCAAAACCAGAAAGCGTCCAAGGAAGAACTCTGCCGGGTACAACCTTACATCTCTGTTTATCGGGGCTGAAGGTACGCTCGGCCTCGTTACAGAGATCACGCTGAAATTGGCAGTCGTGCCGGAGGACACGAGCGTTGCCGTTGTCTCGTTCCCGAGCATTGGTGAGGCGGCTAAGGCGGCGACGAAGCTAATTCGTTCCGGGATTCAGCTCGGTGCGTTGGAGTTTATGGACGAGGTTCAGATGCAAGTTATCAACCGGCACGGAAGCGAGGCGGTGCGTAAAACGGCTTGGGATGAGACTCCTACTTTGTTTCTGAAGTAAGTGGTCTCTGGGCAGCCTCGTTCAAATCCCAGCTGATGAGAGTTTCGCATAGGTTCGCGGGGACAACTGAGGGCATCAAGGCAGATGTTGCGAAGGTGAAGCGGATCGTCGACCCCTTCAAGCCCGGCAAGATTTTCTTCGCGCGTAATAAGCAGGAGGAGGCAGATCTGTGGGCTGCACGAAAGGAGGCCCTTTGGACGATGACATCAATCAAGCCAGATGGGTATGCAATGTGGTCTACAGACGTCGCTGTGCCCATCTCCAGGCTAGCCGAGATCATTGGTGAGTTGACACAACCATCAGCCCCAGGCATCCAACGGGAAGAACACTCTAACAGTGATAAAACACGCAGCACATTCAAAGGAGGACTCTGGAGATCTTGGCCTATTTGCCAGCGTTATCGGGCACGTCGGTGACGGCAACTTCCACCAAGCAGTGATATATGATCCCAAAAACACTGAGCACAAGGAGGGTGTTTCTCGTTGCGTCCACAAAATGATGAATCGCGCTCTCGAGATGGAAGGCACGATTTCGGTAAGTCAACTGCTGGCTAGAAGGATGTTTGAATTGTTGTTGACGGCTTACAGGGAGAGCATGCCATTGGCATTGGCAAAAAGGTTTGATTCCTGTCCTCTGTGACTGTACGGAACTGACACCATTTCTAGGATTGTCTTGTGGACGAGCTTGGCGTCGACACGATTGGCTTGATGAAAAACATCAAGCAATCTTTTGATCCTGCGTGAGTGTCCCCGCATATTCAACAGCTAGACTATGCCCTTACACGTAGTACAGTTGGATCATGAACCCAGGCAAGGTCTTCGACCTACCGCCCAAATCCACAGCCAAGGCTGTCGACGTCGAGTAAGCACGCACCGTGCCACAGCTCCGCCATCGCGACAGGCATTCTTGGTGTTGTTTGTTGCACATCTGAGGCAAGGCTGCCAGGAGGACAAGCAAACCGGCCTGAAACCAGGTGCATGCAGTGCCATGATTCGGGGTCGCAATAGTGGAGGCCGTGTAGCAAATGGTAGCAACCAACACCACGTGGGGGCCAACAGCACCCCCTCGAGTTTCTATTTTCCCACCACGAACGCCTCTTTCGTGCATGCTGCAGTTGGTTCGTCTGGTTGATAAATGGCAATTTCAGCGCAAGAACCAGCGGTCGCAATCGGTTTGTCCCTTCCAACAGCGTTTCACTCTTGCTGGCTGTAGTTCGCACGTCGCAGTTTGCAACCCCTTCCTAACTGCCAAGACCAGTTCCTTCTCCGTGACCTGACTCGGACTGCTGCTGCCTGAGTATGGAAGACTGGCATCCGATTAATTGGGCTGCTGCTTGTTGGTGAGCCACGCGGGGCATCGCGTCGACTATTCCCCCTGGCGGCGCGATCTAAACTGACGAGCACGGGCGTTGCCTGTCAACGGCGCCGATTCTGTTGATCCTGGCTCATTACCGAACGCCACCATCTCCAAATGTGGCATGCAAGAGATACGTGTTTTTCGTCTATTTTGAGTTGCGCAGGCTGCTGCGTTGAAAGAATTTCTGCTGGCTGCATGTCTCATCATGCTGTTGGTCCTCAATTGAACATACTCGGCCGAGAGCTAAGCCTGCTGCGCCGACCATCCAACATCAACTCGCATGGGGCTGATCAAGCCTTGCAGGGCGTTGCAGGGGACCGTATTGTAGTGACAGGAGCAGGCGTTCATCCCTTCGCACATCAAACAGCCACTGAAGCCCCCCGCGATGTGGGGGTCTTCCTCAAAAGGAACTCAGCTCCCCGATGTCTGAACAGGATGGGATTTTGACATTTCCAGTCCTCTATACTCTTCACAAAACTTTGTAGCCACGATGCATCCGCAGTTCTTCTGGGTCCTTCTGTGGGCTTTCATGACCAGCCTGGTCGTGGCATCAACCGAATCGCCAGTTGATCTGGTGGTGCGCAGTAGCCCTGGTAAGACGGCTTCAGACACATTACGAGCTATTCGTCGGTCCATCGCAAATGCAAGAGTCGAGGGCCGGAAGGAGAAGTTCAGCAACAGCACGTCTTTGGAGAAGAGCTTTGACAATGCCGTCCTATTCAAGTTGTAAGTATTCCATGCGCTTTGTCTCGCCTCACTCCTCGGATGCTAACCACACCTAACCCCAGCGAGCAAGACGTCGCCGTTGGCACGGAGAACGTCACAGCAACCGCCGGCATCAGCATCGTCTGCACCAAATGCTACGTCAAGGGCAAAGCCAACGCGCATTTCACCATAGACGGCACCTTCAACGCAACAGGCGTCATCAAGGAAATCGGTAACGAGTTTGAGGAGACCTTCGACAACATCACCACTTACGCCAAAGACTATGTTACTGGGGTTGTAAAGAAGCTGTCTGACGGCTTTGATATCGACGACTTTGATTTCCCTCCTCTCAACATCACTTTTGATGTTGATATCCCAGAGTTCCCAGAATGCAAGCTCGGCTTTGGCTTCGATGATTTCGAGATGTACATGGAGCTTGACACGACTCTGTCGGCTGGCCTGTCTTACACTCTCAACCTGTACACTTCGACGACTCCTTTGGGCTCACAGATTGGCGATGACTTGCTTCTTGGAGTTGTCTTCAATGTGGACCTTATTTTGAATGTCGAGACTGAGATCCAGATGAGCACTGGCTTCCACATCAAGATGGAGGATGGTGTTACTTTTGACATTGCCTTGTTCTCAAAGAACGTGTCAAGTGTCGCATTGTGAGCTGCATCCACCACTTCAGGCTCATCGCAACAGAGAGAACTTGCTAACCAAGCCATACGTACAGCGGTGGAGGCAAGTTCGAGTTCCTCCCGGTCGTCATCGAGAGCGCCGGTGCAGTCATGAAGGCCGTCCTTCGCGTCGGCATCAACGCCGGCATCGAAATCTCTTCACCCATCGACAGCAAAGAGATCGAATTCTTCAACAAGACCGTCACTATCCCTGGCGCATCCGCCGGCATCGAAGTCGCAGTGTTTGCCAACATCGCGGAGCTGAGCACTAACGTCACCGTCCTCCCCGAAGCCGACGAGGATGGCTGCGTACTTCGCGCGGTCAACGCGTACCAGCTCGCGCTCGGCGCCGCCGCAGGTGCATCTGTAGAGATTGGTGACCGTATCTGGGGCCCGACGCCCAACACCCAGATACCAATTTTCTTCACCACGCTCGCGGATGGCTGTGCTCAGAAGAGGGTGCCGACTACGACTGTTGCTACTGTGTCGGCTACCACTACCTCCAAAGCGAAGCGTGACGACCTGACTACGACGACTTTGGAGAAGAAAGTGACGTACACCGGTATCGAGTGTTTGACGACGGGCCTTGTCAACTGTCCTCCGGCGCTGCAGACGCTGAGGAAGTTCGTTGCGACGGAGACATTCGTCACTGCGGTCGCAACTGGGGTTGAAGCTACGTTTCCGGCGGCCACAAATGCAGCTGTTCAAGGGGTCGAGAACTTCGGATCAGGAGTTAAGTCCATGATTTCGACAAGCGGTACTCCAAAGGTCTTCACGCCCACTACTTCGACAGCGTCTGCGACTCCCACTAGCACCGGTGACATCTTGGACGGCGAGGTCGGCGGAGTTGATAAGAAGGTCATTGTCGGCATCAGTGTCGGCGCTGGTCTACTTATCATCGCTATCGTCGCTGGAGTTTTCATGTATGTTTCTCAAGGGTGTCCTTTGCCTCCGATACGGTCTTCTAACATACAGCATAGATACATGCGACGCAAAGGACGATACGCCCCTGTCAACAAGGCGGAAACTCGCGTCGCCTATGACCCGGTTGCTTACCCTGAAGGTACATACAGCCAGATGAAAGACAAGCCCGAGGTAAATGTCTACATCAGGCAATGACAATGTGACATGACACTTGTTCACCCTCTGAAGCTGGCTTCGGGGTGATAAATTGGGTCGATGGAGTTTGAAGATAATGGCCGGCGCCACTGGGAAATCCGTGAGGGTGGCGCAAGGATTAGAAGGACTGGAGGATCACGACTTTATGATAGCATACCCATTTGAATGACAACTCATGTTTTAGATTCTCACTCGTCTAACTGAAACAGAGGCTTTCTACCACATCTGCCGGCCAGATCAAATCTTTGAAGTAGCCCTCACCAACTTAAAGAATTCCTCGACATCCTCCAAGAATAGCTCCGGCTGCTCAAGAGCCGCAAAATGACCGCCCTTGAGAGTTTATGTTAGCATCTCTCTTTTCAAAACATCCGGTCGGTATGGCTTCACGCACCTTCTCGTGAATGCGATAGAACTTCAGATTGGGGTAGACCGCTTCCGCCCAAGCCTTGGGCATGAAGCTCACTTCGTTAGGGAACAGCGAGTATCCCAACGGCGTCTCCTTGGATGTCGGGATTGGCAGTTGGCTTCCAGAGCTAATTGACTCCGCCAGCGGGCGGTACGGATACACACTCCGGGGGAATGTGGATGTGAACCAGTACAGGCTCACGAGGTCCAGGATCGTCTCCAGCTGTAGCGGGTATCGGTCGTCGACCCATTCCAAGTACTTCTCGCCGATCCTGTCATTTCATCAGCATGGCTCTCCTGCACAAAATTGTTTTGCCGCTGGAAGTCTTACCAAGCAAGCAGTGAGATGGGACTGGCTGAAAGAACAAGTCCAATAGTTGCGGGCCTCAGACCGTGCTCAAGGGCGTACGACATTCCCGTCGACCGCCACTTCAGCATCTTCTGGGTCATCTGCTGCTCCTGAGCAGTCAAGACGTCAACGCTTCCAGCGTCATCAGGGCCAGGGTACAGCATGTTCACTGATGGACGTTAGCAGAGGTTTCACAGAGGTTTCCTTCTCTCCATGCCACTCACAATGAACAGCCTTGCACTCTTTGAAGCTGTTGGACATTAGTCTAGCCAGAAAGCTTCCGACATCACCTCCTTGGGCCGCATAACCGTTTTCGAATCCGAGGTCGATCATAAGCTGATGCATTACACCTGCGACCTGGTCCAGAGCAAGCTCCTTATCGACTGGAGCGGACGACGCTGATAGTCCGTAGCCGGTCAATGACGGGACAATGACATGGTACGGCAGGGTCTCTGGCGTGTACTTCTTCAGAAGCAGGTCGAGCATCGGCAAGAATTCCAGGAAAGACCCAGGCCATCCGTGCATGAAGATAACAGGGAGCGCATCTTTTTTGGACGAGAAAAGGGCGGCAAAGTGAACGTCTGTTGTTCCGATATCTTTCTGGTGGACTTTGGCTTTGAAGTTAGGGAATGAGTTGATACGATCCTCCGTCTTCCGCCAGTCGTACTTGAGCCAGGTCTCTTTGGCATTAATAAGCCACTTTCGGGTGACTCCGAACCGTCGATCCTCTTGCTGGTTGTAGTACGTGTCCGGGCCAATCTTGGACAATTCCACCAGCTTCTTGAAGTCTGCGATCTCCTGGTCTGGGATGCGAAGGGTGAACTTCTCAGGCTGCTTAGGCGCGCCTGCCGGGACGGTTCCATATACGTGGGCCATGGTGACTAGCAATGCAGTCCGCTTGGGTCGAAGGTATAGTTGTGTGAGATGGCAGTGAAGAAGTTTGGGTTCATTCAACAGAACGACTGAGACACAGGACGATGGGGATCCTTAAGTATATCGTAGATTCTACCTGTGGAACGGAGGCTATGGATTATCAATCCCCCCGCTCGAACACGACCGAACACGACAAGCAAGGATGCGTTTAAACTTTCTGTCATGCGGAATTCGACACTATGACCGCACGATCCCGTCCGTAGTGCAAAGTCCGCAGCTCGTTGCCTGCCATTCGATAGATCATCCCGTGTTCCCCGCGGGTGAAAGTGGGGCACCTCGGTAGACGGGGCGGACGGACAGCCCAAAGTCCGGGATTGTCGGGGGTGTTGAGCTCATGCATGCATAAGTCCACCGCGTGTGATCTTATCCGGACCACTTTATTATTCGGTTGATCTGCATGTAACACTGCTGTGTTGCAGTGTATTGAGTCACACCGGAAGTAAAGAGGAGCCCACATTCGTTCAGTGCGGTAACGTCATAAGAAACGATCTCTTTAAAATGAGCAGCGATATGATTCGGGCAGGCTCACTGCAACCTGTCCTGCCAGTAGCTGTAGTTGAGAGAGATCGATAGCGTACAAACTGCTACCAGGAATGCTCCGAGTCCAAAGGCGGAAGACGCGTCTGACGATATGCCCCAGTACACAGCCACGACAATGCCAATGGAAACAACTCCAATCAGAGCTAGTAAGAGAAAATGGGTCCAGTTGAAGACTTCGTTTACAATAATGCCCCATCCTACAACCGATGGATTCGCAACTCCAGGCAGGCGACTCAGAGGAGTTTGCAACTTCTTGGGGAACATGGTAAGCCAACCGTCGTCGCTGTGCTTTCCCGGAAGAGTGAGGTGGGAAAGAGGTATGAAGTCCAATTCAACATCATTCATAGGCACCGGCCGATATAGATAGTTGCCAGATTTTACCTCCGCGCATGGTGGAAATTCTGTTCGTTTGAACCCTCTTGGAACAGTCTCCTCACGAACAGGAACAAGACGAAACTACGAAACCATCAGTCTCACTTTTATGACAGGGAACATCGAAATGCAGACCTTCACGAAGTCTCCTGTGCTCATTTTATAGAATCGAATCTTAGCCAGTGAGCTCAGAGGCCGAAGAATAGAACCAACCCAGGCGTGGTATTCGAGAAGTGTTGATGCGCGATCCAATGTTGAACGACTCCACAATGGCAAAAGGGAAGAGGGTCTCCATTCTGAGGCTTCACGAAGAGCCGTGTACTCCTTTAGTATTTCCTGGAAGAGATACTGGTCGTTTTTGAATGAGCTGCACTCAATGTGCACGAGGGTATGTAATCCTTTCTTTTTGATGCACATCAACAGATATTGAGGACCCTGGGTTAGTCCAGGAATCGAGACGTCGTTCTCAGACCACGAAGTAGTTGATGTTGGAGTCGAAGGCCTTGTTCCCGAAGATGACGAGGGCATTTCGTCAGAGCTAGATTCGGCTCTATGTGGGCTATTGGATTGATGTCTTGTCGGCCTGAAATATGCTGGTAAAGGGATAGAGGGGCCGGCTGTTGAGCCTTCACTTGGCGAATAGAGAACTATGTTGGTGGCCCCATTTTTCGACAATCCGTTGCAGAAACGCACAACTCCACCAAGGCTTAGCTCTTTGACGTCCAAGAACATGTTCTCGCCACACGCCTGAGAGAAAATGTCAGCTGTTATTTGGAAATAATGGCGACCCGGTCATCGCATGGGTGGCCTCTTACACAGGTGTATCTGATTCTGTGGTGCGTCGACGTCGGCGGCTTCCAAACGTCATATATCCAACCAAAGAAACTCGATTTGTAACATTGTGCCCAATTTTGAGACCGTCCTTCAACTCTGAATATGGCTTTTCCCTTTTCTGCTTTCGCCTTAGGAAAGAGAAAGTCTCGAAAGTCGGTTTTGAATTTTGTCAGCGCTACGCCTGAAGTGAGAAATTGTCGAGTTTCTGCTAACTTCTCGCATGAGACAGAAACCGTAGATTTGGACGTTTCGCCATCGTTCGTATCGCTGTCACTTTGTCCCTCGTTTTCAGAGACCTCGCGGTCATCGCCATCTTCTTTGAAGCATAACATTTTGGTCTCTGAACCTGCTTCATATGTCTCGTCGGGGCCTCTAAGATACCTCTCTATAGTGAGGTTGCGGTTTTCGTTTTTCTGCAATTCCTCGCGTAGGTCTCCACTTTGTCCGGCTTTCTGAGGGGATAAACTCCCCAATATCTTGCTTGAGATCAGGTTTCTATGCTTTCTTGATCTTAGAAAGTCAATAGAACTAATTTGATCCGTTTTGTGAGCCTGAGACTGTAACAGGATGTAGTAACCCTTAAGTAATCGTCTGTGATTTCTCAAGAATCTGTTCTCGTCTAAGTGGCTGATTGCATACTGATACAGAGCCCTGAGCTCAGGGTCATCAGTCAGCATGTCAGCTACGTAGCTCACTGCTGCCACAATAACATTCCAGTTCACAGGTCCGGAGTCACTTGGTGACATTATATCGTCGGTAAGAGAAGGAATCGACTGGATTTCAATCATGTCGTCATCAGCCTCCTGGAATTCTCGCCCAGAGTCATTGCCATCCATACTCGGGTTCATCGTCCCGGATTGCTTTTGGTGCCGCAATGAATGCAAGGAGTCTGCTTCTATTGAAGAAGGCTTGGTGGATTCAGGATGGACACTGAAATATTGGCTGCTTGTACTAGCACTTGTTTGTGTCTCCGTGAAGGGATGTTGCAGCTCATTTCGCATAGGGGTATTTCCCCTGCTACTTAACCAGCCTGTTCCTATCGTTGGCGGCCTCAAATGAATGTCGCGGGACGTCTCCGCTGGGATACCGAACGTTTTCCTCTGTTTTTCCGTAAGATACTTGAGAGGGTTGAAGCTAGGCTCTCGCTCGTCGGGGTGTCCATCGTGGCGTCTTTTTGGGAAACGGTCCTCGGAATTTCTACCGAATACATCTCGGGCTGTGTCAACTAACCACAACAAGGGATTGTTGAAGCGGGGGGTGCTGGCGACGGCGAGAAATAAACCCAGCTGTCGATGTCAATTACCCTATGTCATGTTATACAGTTTGAATTACTTGCCTCTGTCATGAGATTCGCGACAACGGATTTTAATTTGTTCAAGCTCACGAGCGTTTCTTCCATATTCTCGACCGCCTGGTCGATGCCCCTGAAATGTGTCGTTATTCGATTCGCGAGGCTCTCATCCGTCTCATGCGTAAAGTCAGCAGATTTGCTTAAGCGGAATTCCTTCAACCTTTCCGTATTAATTTGGAGCAATACAGTTAGTTCGCGGAGAAGTTCTTCGGTCCGCTTTATCCAAGCTTCCTTATGTTCGACGATTTCGCATTGATTACTTGCTGTACCAAGCGATGATCTTCCCCATATCATTGGATTATTTTTGTCGTACGATACCTGTCTCGTGTTACTTAAAGGCTATTCAGAAAGATAAAACAGGCATTTAGTTCAGCTTCTGTCTGTGTCTACGCAACAGGTCTTCGGCTGCTACCAACGTTGAGAGGACAGACAACAGATAAAATTAAGGAAATAGCCGATCGACCTACTTACATATTGCTCGATATGTTTTCGTACATGAAACAGCGTGCGAGACCATTCTTCTGTATTCCTTGCCACATGAGCTTCAACGTCATTCAAGAAGTATTCTCGGGGGTCTTGAATGGACGCAGAAGTGGTACGGTGGAAAGAATCTGCGACCTCTCTCGCATGGGGACTCCCAGAATGAGTTGACGGCATGGGCGAATTCTCAGGGTCAGAGTTGTCATCAAAGTAAGTATCGGTGAAGGTCAACGCTGTCCAATTAGACAGATTCCAACCCATCACACTGACCGACGTCTGACTTTCATGGATGAATAATGTTGTGGAGGGCAGCATGTCCCATGAACCTGCCAAGAATGATATATCAAAGGACTTCCGAATGGGACGATTATCCGATGTTGGACGCAGATCAACTCGTCGTGTGGTATCCTCTCTAGACGCGTAACATGCCAGGTGAAAGTCCAAAATGTAAGGGCCTTGCGTCTGGATCGAAATCTATGTCAGTACTAGTTGAATCAGGTTTGGACTTCCCCTGGCACATAATTCTGCATTATCCAAGGATAAAGGAACTACAGGGAGAGGGTCGCGGTGCGCAAGGAACTATTAATGATCTCACCGGAAATTTCGCTTGTATTGAGGTATTGAAGGTGCAGTATTTGAATATCGACTTTCGTAGGAGGGGGATTTCATGCTGCGATGCTGTCATCACCAGGAGGCACATGGCCATCGGAGACGGGTTGGGAATGTGTCTTCACAGTCGCTCATGTTAGCCGACGCTGATTTCAGTCATCTCTGAACTTACAATCGTCTTGTAAAGTCACTTGTATGCTTTGAAGATCTGGCGCTCTTCATACTCAGACGTCAGCCGGATTGTCAAAGTGCTGTCGAGAGAGTGAATAGGCACTTTACCTCGACTTCGTTCAGCACTTGCCACAACTTGCTGACCGTGATCAAGCCATCCGGTTTTACGGTATGGCCATCATTGCCAATGATGTGGATCCATCCTACGAAACTCTCTGGGTCTTTGAACGTACCCTCTCTTGCCGTGTTGATTATTGAGGAGCTGAAAATTTGTGCAAATACGGAAAGCTCACGATCCAACCTTCTAGGTGACCCCTCAGATGTGTTCAACAAACTTTGCAGTTGGCTATGATCCAACTCATCGTTCGTTGATAGTTGGATCACATGAGGTTCCTGAGCGGGTCCTGTCACAACATCTCTAGCTTTGGCTGTCGGGATCTGGCGATTCCATTTGGGACGAGGACGCGGAAGGTGCTGTATTGGGGTTTTATCCATGCCGGGCACAGTGGCCAATGAAATGGTCGAAGCGCGGGACGTTTTTCTGGTGTAGGGTATGCGAAAGAACAAAAATCAAACACAAAGTAGTCTTGATAAGAGAGATTTCTACCATTTGATGGGAAATGAGTCACGCCGACGCTTTACGCTCTTTGTGCTTTCCTGATGCAGTATCCTGTTGGGCCATACTTGTTGTAGCCCCGGAATTTGAATGGACCACAAACCGTCGAGTGTGAAGTAAGGCGATCAGGCATTTCTTGCGGTCCAGCTTGAATAAACCGACGGGATGGGACCTGCAAATAAGCCCAGCCGACTCCCATGCAATATTTCACTGGTTAGCACTTGGTTCTACAGTCGTCGTCATAATCCAAGACCTAAGCCACGAAAAGGTCCCGTGCATGGTTTTTGCGCTTTTCAGCTTTCTTATGATTGGAGGGCTATTTATTGTTGGGTGTCCGATTGGTTCTGTTTGGAAAATGAGGCAACGGGTTGCAGCTAATGCTGGCCATACACAGTAATGCAAATATTTCATCAGCTGACTTATCGCTGTTGTAAGTCGGGCCGCGAACCATGGCATACAGAAAAAATGCATTTTCCAACCCGTTGAGATGTCATACGAAGTTATTCTTGATATATCATCGTCTTTCTCCCTCTCTTATAAATCTTTCAGGTGATGTTTTTGATGCTACCACCCGTAACACACCCTTTTCACATTCTTATGACGGTAAGGAGGCATACATGAGATTTACAGTTACGACATGGATGCCGAAGAAACAAACCTCACTGTCTCTGGGGAGCCACGACCGCGGATTTAGTCCACCATGAGCCACATAAAGCGTTTCCATTCACGTTGAGGTAGACTTTTAGTGATAATCTTTTGGCTCCGTGTTCCCGGCATCCTCTTTGGTGGCTAACAGATGAATATCGCATGGGTACTGAGGGCGAAATTTGTATTTGCAATTTCCATTCGCGATTCGCGGCCATGAGCAGTGGGTAAGTTTTGTCAAGAAATCGTCGCATATGGTCAAAGGCCAATTATCATCATGTCAGCCATTCATACAGAAAGATGTTGAGGCGTTTTGTTACAACCACTAGACTCTATGATATGAAGGGGGAGCCACGGCTAGTTCAGATCCAGCCTCGTTTCAACTGACGCTCGCAGCAATCCTCACGAAGAAAGAGACTCCCTCCGATAGCACAATGCCCTCCACTGTGCATAAAGCTTCGCACAGGGCAGCGACTCCCTGTTTGCCGGCAGTGTCTTCGGATTGACCACCAGTAACCTTCCAAGGGAGGGTCATCCCCAGATTCGAGATGGCAGTCATCCATTCCATTGTGAAATCCCATTTAACCTGTTTCTGATTTAGTGTATCACGGACTCCTCGGCGTGTTAATCTCACTAGTCATGACAGTGCCATTCCCACGCGACAAACCTTAATTGGAGAACTCGCCAGCATTGCCCTGGATCAAGAGCTCCTAAAATATCAATCCAGTTGAGCTTCGAGCAGTTTTCAGAATTCTGCATCGGTCATGCCAGCAGAGACCTACTGCCAGTCGCCCTTTGAGTGCTGATTTGGTTCACTGCCATGAATGTGTCCGCTTTGTAAGATTCGAGTGTTTCATTTCCTTGGTCCTGATAACATTTCAGAGTTGCGGATGTCTCCTGCCGGGCGATGCCTGACTCAAGTCGTGGAAAGGATATTCTTCAGGCACCTGAACGAACAAGTTAGCGGTCAGTGTTCTCACTAAGAGTTTGTACCGAGCAGTAAACCTGAAATCCCCAGGTGGTATCCTCCTTTTCAGTCAACTGGGCGGTCTCACCAGCCTTTCGCGCGTCTGACGCATTGCATCGAAACTATGCGTAACTGTCAATAACGACCGTACTTATGAAGCGGGGGTAATGAATGCACTACGAGTTTTAAATGCAATTCACGCCTGTATTCAACTAACTAGTATGCAGCTAAATGCGCGGGCGGCTGCGATTGAGGTATTCGTCTAATTGGACAATCAAAGTGGGATACCGCCTAGTCTTAGTGGGATGCTACCCAAGAACGACCGCCCGAATAGCAAAACTCATCCCGAATACAGGCTGTTTTTTTTTTCTTTTCTTTTGGTTCGTGAGATACGATATTGACCTTCACTTCACAGTTATCTTCCAGAGAGAACTCCAAAGCCGGTAGATCCTTACTTCCGTGAGGATCTGTGAAGTCACCATTACGCTGGACGAATTTATCATAGCACATAACTGACGTTATTTCATTGGCGGTACCGATCGATAGCTTCAACCTGGAATTGCTTCCGGCACAAAGTATTTGACAAGAAGGAAAAGGAAACCAATCTCAGCTCGACTCAAGCCTTGAACTTGAAGACGCCAACCTTGGCTCTGCACTTCGAGTCGCCCTTGCCACCTTTGGCCTCGCAGGCCTCTCGGAATTTGCAGTTATCCAATGCCGTGACTTTGAAAGCGCTGCTCTTGTAGAGCTTGCACTCAGTGTATCCCTTGTCGTTGATGCGAGTGTAGCTGGGGTCGCATGCCCAGTCGGTAAGCGCATCGTTCGTGGTGCCGTCTTCATTTGTGCAGGCGCAATACTTGTACTGGTCGCAGGCTTGAGTGGTCAACGCAAGAGCGAGGACGGAAAGAACGAATGAAGCCTTCATTTTGAGGTTGTGAAAAGGCTGTTGATGTTAGCTGGGTGTCCCTGGCGCAATATGTGGAGCGCACAACTGTACTTACTAAAGACCGTGCTGTGAGTTTGGAGACGAACTTCTGTTTTGAACGAAAGACTGGACGAGCTTGGGATTGCTTGCTGTTGTGAACTTGAGTTGAGAATCATTCGCACCTTTATAAGATGAATCCTTCGGTTCTAGTTTAGGGCGTAGCAGCATAGACTCTCCTAAAACATGGGGGCATGGTTGTCGGTATTGCCGACTTCCTCCGCCTCTGCACGTTACCCCCACATTCCATGTTGCAGGAAATTGTCCCTGCTTGGCAAAGTTTAAGTTTCCCCTGGTAACTGACTCAAATAAGCATCAATCAGTTCAGTTTCGCAGGTGACTTTGGGATGAACAGCCACACCTTAACTCATATAATACTGGCTATCGATCTCAATCTGGAACAGAATTGAGATGTCACCAAGTGCCGTCTTTCAGGGGTCCGCGTGAAGTCTACAGCCCTACTTGCGGAGCTACCCGCGGACCGTGATTCCCATGACAGGCTCAAAGAACGGAACGGATGGTTGAGCCAACTTTTGATTAAATACATCCGCGGGAGGCCTTTCATTAATGGAGACCGCTGGGTCCGAAGTTAATTAGGTCGGCCTCGACGAACACACCGAAAATGCCGGATGCGAACGGCGCGTACTCGGCAGTTATCGTTCTCGGGCTTGGACCCGTGCTACCGCCGGCCCTTATCGGCGACGGACATCTCTAGGACGCTATGATGGTTTTCGGCCTGACCCTCAGTGTTGCAGTCCCCAAATCATCTGATTCCTTAATGTTCTCCACCAGCGCCGGACTCAATGATAACGTCTTCGATTAAGTTATTAGGGAGGACTATCTTAGAAAACACATTTGCCGCAACGGATATTCTTGATTGCATTCTAGTTCTTCAACAATGCGCTACAGTTACTTTTTGACCAGGACAGGTTTCCTGCTGTTTCCACTCTTTCGTGCGAATGTTGGCCCCATCATCAATCTTTTGGCGTTGAGGCAACGGACAGCTCGAAGTCGATGCTATTAAAAGTTCTTGGTATGGGAGATTTGGTAGATACAGGGAATTACTTGAATTAACTGCTATTTTGGGTAAGAGGAAGACGTCGCAAGCAAATTAATACAGCGATGGTGCGATGAATAAGCGCTGGGTGACGGTAGTGAGATTGCGGTTATTAACGGCATGAGCCAACGAGACCACAGGTAAACTGACTAGAGGGGGGGGGGGGCAAGACCGCCTAACCCCACTTAAGGTAGAAGGTATACTACTTATACCTACCTAAAGTAGTTAGAGGTATTAAGGTAATAATAGAATATTTAGTAGGGTATAATTTTTTTAATTAGCTAGATTTAAATAAGTAATTAGAGTAAGTATATAGATTATCTATCTAAAAATAAATTTCTCTTTTAATTCTATTTCTTTTTACTTTTTCTTCTCTTTTTTAAACTATAGTTAAAATCACTTTTTATAAGTAATTATAAATTAATTCTACTTTTCTTTTTTTCTTATATATTACTATACTAAGATATCTATTATAGCTCTTAAATTAAAGGGAACTATAAGTACTTTAGAATTATTTCTAAATTAATTTAGAACTAATTTAGAATAGGATAAGTATTAGATTTATTTTAAAGGTTTAGTTAATAAGGATAGCTAATAAGTTTTATTCTTTAATAAGTTTTAGTAACTTATTTACCTCCTCCTTTTTACTTATAATATTATAAGTATTTCTAAATTAATTTTATATTAGTTTAGGACTAATTTATATTTAATTTAGAATAATAAGATTATTATTATCTTAAGTAAAGTATACTACTACTTTTCTAAACTTAGTAACTTAATTAACTATACTAATATAAGTCTTTTTATTTTTAAACTAATTTAGAATTAATTTTAACTTAATCTAAAAGATATAATTTTTCTCTAAATCTAATATATATAGTTATATTATTAAGTATAAGGAGGTTAATAGCTTTAAGTCTTACTTTAAGGTCTATAAACTTAGTATTATTAGTTTTATTAAAGTTAAAGCTACTATTAGTTTATAATTATTTCTAAAGTAATTTTAGATTAATTATTAATTAATCCTAAAGCTTTCTATAATAGGATTAATACTCTAAAGGATAGCCCTCTTACTTAGTAAAATACTATAGTTATTATACTTTTTAAGAAGAGAAAGATTATTACTTATTTTACCTCTACTTTTTTATAGTTTCTTACTAAGAAGTATAGTAATAAGACCTTTATAAGTAATTCTAAACTACTTTAGTATTAATTCTAAATTAATTCTAATTTATTCTAAGTTAATATTTCTAATATACTTACTACCCTTAGTAAGAATATTAAGACTAAGAAGAACAATTACTATAATAGTTATAAAGGTACTAAGGAGAATAAGTATAAATTCCTTAATCTTTTCTAAATTAATTCTAGATTAATTTAGAATTAATTAAGCCCTCTTAAGGAGTATATTACTACCTACCTTTAGTAGGCTAAGTTTATTTATAATAAAGCTATTAAGGGTTTTAAGGAGGAGCTTAAAGAGCTTAAGGAGCTTAAGGAGCTTAAAGAGGGTAATAAGGCTAATAATAAGGAGATTTAAGGTTAATTTAGGATTAGTTTAGAATTAATTTAGAAATAGTTATAACTTATAAATTTTTATAATTAAAAATACCTATAGTATTAACTTTTATTAAAAAATTTAGTATAATATTCACTTTTAGATTACTTTATAATTACTTTAGAATTAATTCCTATATAATATATAGTTAATATTCTTATTTTTAAAAAACTTTAGATTTAAAATAAACTAATATTTAAAAAAAGATTTATATATTATATTATTAATTAGTATTTAAAAATAAATTTATATTTTATATTATTAATAAAGAAATATAAATAATAATAAATTAAGTTTAATAATAATTAAAAT